TGGAAACTTACCAGATCATAGATTAGTTTACTAGTGCATGGAATCCTGCAAATCTATTTTCAGGGAAATCTAGATTCACGGAGTTCAATGCGCTAGTAAACTAATCTATGATCTGGGAAGTTTCCCCGAACATAGATTACCGAACTAGCGACCATTTCAACTAGGGCTTATTTTTTATGTAGGGCTTATTTTTGGGGGATGTCTTCTTTTTTTGTGGAAAAACTATACTTATGTTACAGGGGCTCCAGTGCATCCATGGTGCCATAATCTCAATGGCGGTTATGATGCTTGGAGTGTTCCTTTAACAAGAGTCAATTCATGCTTTACTGAATGATAATTAACCCCTTCATGCCCTTAATCATGTATATACAACTGCCAGCGTATTCGGCCATACCCCGCAATTGTGTATACACGATTTTAACCATTGCAAATAAATTTTGTTCGCAATGACTGTCCAGACAGCAGAGTCTGAGCTACCATTATAGCCATAGGCGTGCGCAGCCTATTGCACTAGGGCGTGCACCCTAAAGCACAAACACACACGCCACGTGTATATGTATGTGTATATATATATATGTATATTTATATACACACACATATACATACATACATACACTGCTGTGTGTGAGGGTACTGTTAGTGTGCTGTGTGTGTGAGAGGGTGCTCTGTGTGTGTGTGTGTGTGTGGGTGCTGTGTGTGTGAGGGTGCTGTTAGGGTGCTGTTAGTGTGCTGTGTGTGTGAGGGTGCTGTGTATGTGAATTTGTTTGGAGTGATTGTGCGTGGGGGTGGGAGGGACAGATTAGGAAATAGCCCCTCTCCCTTCTTACCTTACTGGGTCCTCTCCTGCCTCTCTCACTGCCTGTGGCCCGGTGAGTGAGATCTTTGATCTCCTTCACCAGCCCATGGTGGCACACAGCAGAGACGGCGCTCAGATACCACCGGCTCTGCATGGACTGACAGGGGAGACCCTGTGATATCCCCTGCCTGCCTCAATCCATGCGCGGGCCGTGGGGATTAGCGTGTGGCCAGGCACACCCTGTGTGCACACCTATGATTATAGCACCCTGTATAGCACACTCACCCCACATTTTGCATTAACTTTCTTTACTAACTCCATAGCAGTCACAGTCACCCTGTCACATTTCCAGGACCCCAAAACTTACCCCACACAGTTACATTGTCACAGGTATTCTTTTAGACTCACTCTGTCACAGTCACTCTCATACATAGGAACCGCCCAATACACCATAACCCTCATACTTACGCAGTTACCCCTCACACACACAACAAAACCATAAACACAACACCTACATCAAGACCACAAGCAGTTATCCCATACATCCAACACTATAAGCAGCTCCTCAAACACATACAGTCCAAGACAGAGATACACATGCTTTCAGTCACACAAGGATACCCACTGCCAGCCACACACTCTCAGCACATGCACCTGGGGTGTCCAAAAGGTAGATCCCCAGATGTTGTAGAACTACCTATGATGCTTTGAATGCTTTATAATGACAAAGCATCATGGAAACTATAGTTTTAAAACATCTGCCTTTTGGGCATCCCTGCTCTACACAATGCCAGACATGTACACATTGTGATTATGTGTCTGTATCTGTCAATGTGTGTGTGTTTATGTTATTGTGTGTCTCTGTGCAACAGTGTGTTTCATTGTGCATGTGTGTGTATATGTATAAGTGTATCAGTGTCTGTACGGAGCATGTATCCAAAGTGGAAACATCACTGCAATGTGAGTACGATATGGTACGATATGGTATGGAAAATGCCATGGTAATGTGGCAACATACAATGTAAGTGGGAATTTTAAACTGGTTCATGGATTGCAGGATAAAACTTACAAGGAAAGGTTAAAGGAACTTAACATGTATAGCTTGGAGGAGACGATGAGACGGGGGGATATGATAGAAACATTTAAATACATAAATAAATCAACACAGTAAAGGGGGAGACTATATTTAAAAGAAGAAAAACTACGACAACAAGAGGATATAGTCTTAAATTAGAGGGGCAAAGGTTTGAAAGTATTTCTTTACTGAGAGGCCAGTCAATGCTTTCCTATAGACGCTGGCGTCTTCTCACTGTGAAAATCACAGTGAGAAGCGCGGAAGCGCCTCTAGCGGCTGTCAATGAGACAGCCACTAGAGGCAGGATTAATCCATATTCTCTGAAACTGTTATGTTTACAGCAGGCAGGGTTAACTCTAGATGGACATGGCACCCAGACCACTTCATTAAGCTGAAGTGGTCTGGGTGCCTATAGTGGTCCTTTAAGCATGAGTGGGATAGGCATAAGGCTATCCTAACCATAAGAAAAGGCGAAGGACTAATGAAAGTATTTAGAAAATTGGGCAGACTAGACGGGCCGAATGGTTCTTATCTGCTGTCACATTCTATGTTTCTATGTTTCTATTTTTTTTAAAAAGTATATGTTACATATTGAAACATTTTATTTGTTTGCAACACTGTTCCCTTATATGTAACTTCCTTATTTTGTACATGATCTTTTAAAAGGTTTTTCTGTCCAAATGTTTTGTTTTTGTTTCCATTAAATAATGTGTTAGCTATTCATACAGAAACGAATATACATATAAACATTACTTTCCAGGATACCAAAAATGCACAGATTCAGGAGGTGTTTTTCTTTTGTTTGCTTTTTTGCAAACCACTTGGTAGTGAAGGGGTTAAAAACGAGATGTTGGAAATGCAACAAGGAAATTACACAATTTAGGCTGAAATATGTGATCTGTAAAAATCACCACCATCTCATTTAGTTTTCTAGTTTAGCTGCCTAGAATGTGCACTTCATTGAAAATGCTGATAGTGCTATAATTTGTTTCATATTTCATGCGGTCCTTGGAAATGAGCCTTGGAACAGTGGTGTATCCTGGTTTTGTGCTGCCCTAGGCATTACAACCCCTCCCCGCCCCGCCTTCTAAATACACATACACATTCACTGACAGACACACATACACTAGCTAACAGACATACACACTCACTGAAAGACAGACACACATACACACTCACTAGCATACAACATACACTCTCACTAACAGACACACACAGTCACTAACAGACACACATACACACTCACTAACAGACACGCATACACACTATCAGACACAGACACACACACACACACTAACAGACACATACATACTAACACATTCACTAACAGACACACACATAGTAACATACTCACTAACAGATACACACACTAACAGACACACACATAGTAACACACTCCCTAACAGAAACACACACTAACAGACACACACACACTCACTAAGAGACACACACAAACACACTCACATAAAAAAAATTCAATTCAATCCCCCCAGCCTTCCTACCTTTGGAAGAGCTGGGGTGGATTCTTGCTTTCCCTGGGGTCTAGTGGGGTTGCTGGCTGGCCAGCCGGCCGGCTGGCCGGTCACTGCAGTCTGCGAGGGAGCACTGATCCTCCTGTTCAGCTCCCTTGCGCGCCGCGTAGTGATGCTGGGGCCGGAATGACGCCATATTCCGTCTCCGGCATCACTGCAGTGCGCGTGCTGGAGCTGAACAGGAGGATCTGTGCTCCCTCGCCGCCCGGAAAGTTCTGCAGCTGCCGGCCTAGGGGGGCCCTAAGGGGGCGGCTGGAAAGTGCCAGCCTCGTGGTAAATACACCCCTGCCTTGGTGTCCTCTTGGTAGATATCATAACCTGGATCTTTTTTAGTACGTTTTCTTGTTCTTTTTTGATTTCTGTGATTATGTCCAATCAATCAACTTTATTTCTGCTTGTAGAAAATTGGTGCCCAATCTGCTTACAAATTTTTACCAGTATGTATTATTTTTGACAGCTCTATGAAGGAGTTGTTATAACAGCATTTATTTCCTGCTTTTTTTTTTTTTTAAACAGGGCCCTAACTAATCAGTGAATGTAAGTACATTGCACTTGCAATCAACTTTGCTCACCTGCAGTGTTAATTTTTTCGACTATCAATTTATGTCAGATTTTAGTCGACTAAAACTAAAACAATTCAGATGACTAAAATACGATTAAAACTAAAATGGCTTTTTAGTCAAAAGACTATGACTAGAACTAAATTGAAAATTGCCACCAAAATTAACACTGGCTGGTAAGACACAATGGGGAAGGGAGGAGAAGAAATGAGACACATGGGGGGCTGAAGGAATGAAACACATCGGGGCTGGGGACACACAAAGAGACACAGGAGGGTTGGAAAAGGGGCATGTCGAATAAAATCTTCTGGAGATTTAGTTGACTAAAACTAGACTAAAACTAAAACAATTCAGATGACTAAAATACGACTAACTAGCTTTTACTAATTACATGTAATTACATGTAAAGTCATGATTTTATTAAGGACACGGAGGTGGGTATTAGGCTTTATCTCTTTCTTTATTCCTCAGCAGCAAAAAAAAGGATATTAATGTATTAATATAGAAAAACAAACATTCTACTATATTCAACCAATGGGATCAGTCCTTGTTCCATGTCCTCTCATGTGACCTAAGCCACTCCCTCTTTCTAGCTGACGCCGAAGCCGAAAAATCAACAGTAAACGATTAACATGAACAATCGCTGGTAGAGGGTTCTAGGGAGTATCCTCCATTGTAACCAAGATGATAACAATTCGATCCAGAGTGATCCTTTGTAGGGTTTAAGCTGTAGGAGACAGAGAAACGTGTGGTAAAATATGTTCAAATACTGTTGTCATTCATTTGTGACTGTGACAGTTTAAAATTTATGACATTGAACATGTCCCCATGAGTCCAGCAAAAAAACTAAATTATTCGGCAACCCACATTAAAGTCTAGACAAATCATACGTGCCATTGAAATTGGGTGGGGAGATAAAGCGTACGACTTACCTGTCTTTGGGTGGGCTAATACACTCTGGTGCTGCCCGGCCGGGTGGCAGCCTCGCTGGGCCGGCGGTACACCTAATGCTGAGGACTGAAGGAGGATGGAGCATGTCTCTCTACCATGCTCCCTCACGGTTTCCACAATTCCCAGCATTCATACTGTGCTGGGAATTGTGGGAACCACAAGGGAGCATGGTAGACATGCTCCCTCCTCTTTCAGTCCTCAGCATTAGTGACAGGAGTGCCGCCGTGGAACACAGCCGGCCCCCTCTGACTTCTCTCTGTAAATGGTGGTCGCAGTGGTGAGAGTGAACTCTAGCCCCATAGGGGTGGAGCTAGCCGTGGAACAGAACGGTCGCAATCTCTGGAGCTCTGCACCAGATAGAACAAAAACAGCTAATTTCGGGTGGAAATTGGACATAGCACCAACCAACTCCTTTCATTCCTAGCAGGGGAACACAATGGGCATAAAAAACACAAAAAATTCAATCCCGGGAAAAGCCCAAATGCCATAGATATCGGTGAACTTCTGCACAACACACAGCAAGCCGCACAACAGGCCGCATGGCAAAAGATGGCGCTGGACAGCACCCCCTCGGATCTCAGAGAGGGACTCCGCAGGGGCACAGCACTGGGCTTGCCACCAGGACCCTCTCCCACACAAACACCAGCCGGGGCACCAGTAACAGCGGATCTGCTCAAAACTATGTTGGCAGACATTGCCGCGGACATGGCCTACTTCAAAGATGCAGTTGAAGGTGCAATAGCCAAGATTGTCCTCCTGGAAGCCTCCACAAGCTCCCACGATACCAGACTCACCTCGGTCGAAAGACAAATCGAGGACCTACAAAGGCAACAACTGGCAACGTCCGACAGGCTGGACAACATTGAAGACCAACGGAGGAAATACAATCTAAAAATCCGTGAAATCCCAGAATCAGTCACCCTCACAGACCTGCCACACTATGTTAGACGCCTGGTTGCAGTTCTCTTACCGCCTAAACAAGCAAAATCACTGAGACTTGACAGGATGTTTCGTCTCCCTAAATCAAAGAAGGCACCCCCAGAGGCTACTGCAGATCTGATCATCAGGTTCCAGTCCATACAGGAAAAAGCCATGCTTAAAAACGCAGCACGAGGGAAGACCCCCTTAACCTTCGAGGGGTCTACACTATCGCTGTTCCCAGACCTTACACACGCAACCCTGATGTCACGGTTGCTAGTGTGGTCCAACACTCAGAAACTATGTAAACATATACATACAAAATAAAAGGAAAATAAAAGGACAGAGCGTAAACCAGACCTTAGAATGGCCGGACTAATACGCTAGAGATAGAGAATGGTCAAAGGGAAAGTCGAGGTCAAGGAAGCCAGAAATACTCAGATACCGTTTAAACAAGCCAACTCAGGGGAACCAGAATTCGGAATAACCAGGGAAAAGCCAAGATCAGGATACCAGGAAATCAGATTCACAAAGATAAACGCACTCTTGGAACCAGGAACAGGGCAAAGAACTGGAGTGAATTAGGGATTTAAATATCCCTCTCTGGGCTCTGATTGGTCCCCAGAATGTCACAACGTCAACGCACGCGCACGCCCGTATAAATTTTAGGGGCGGAGCTTGTGATGTGCGCGACCACGTGGTCAGCGCCATCTTTGATTTGGGCGCAACACCCAGAAGATGCGGAGGAGCGGTTCCCGGCTCACCAGTGAGCAGGTAAGCTCGCAATATCGGCGAGGTTGTGCCGGTCGGGCACGGCTGCGCCATGCGACGGGCCGGGAGCCGCAACACCTCACCTAGAGGAAAACCCTGCAACCGCTTCTGCAACAGCTGCGCATCAAGGAAGTACCATACCGCTGGGGCACACCGAGAACGATCTTGTTCACCCACCAAGGGGCAGCCTGCAGAGCACACAGCTACCCGGATCTGGAAGCCCTCCTGCTCAAATTGGGCCTCGCCAACCAAGCAGGCAAAAGAACCACAGGACTTTCTCACTTGAACCCAGCGGGGATAGTGGAGTTTATCCCACGTCAAACTCAACGGCCCACCTCCATACAAGATCCAGCGTGAGAAAAGGAGACACCCGCAGAACACTTTCCAGCCACCATAATGAATTGGCTCCAGTTAAGATTTGCAAAACCACCTGATGCTCCAGGAGTTAATTTGTTTTTTCCTAGATGCTGTTATTTTGTATTATAGTTAAGTTAACCACCACCACACCCATATGGCCAACTCGCACTTTCAGGACTTCTCACGGGCGGCTCCTTTCCTATGGAATGGCCCTACTCCCATCAGACTCTCCCCTAGTCTTCAATCCTTTAAGAAGTGCCTTAAAACCCATCTCTTTAGGGAAGATTATGGCCTCCCAGAGTAACCTCTACCTTACATACCTGTCTCTTGCTCTCTCCCATAGGGCAGTGCTCCTCCAGCTCTGATTAAAATTTCCTGTCCTAACATGTCTTATACCCCACCTCCTATAGACTGTAAGCTCATTTGAGCAGGGTCCTCTTCAACCTATTGCTCCTGTAAGTTTTCTTGTAATTGTCCTATTTATAGTTACATGCCCCCTCTCATAATATTGTAAGCGCTACGGAATCTGTTGGCGCTATATAAATGGCAATAATAATAATAATAATACAGGGCGGTAAGGAAAGATGTGGTTCATAGAAGCACGTATGGAATCCACGTGTTGTTCCATGCCCCAACCACACCATGTGTTCCAGGAGCCCAAGCACCTGCCAATAAGGTAGGGAGAGGAGGGGTAGGACCTCGGAGCTCCAAGGACATCCCGCAAACGGTGGGAACCAGGTTATAAACAACCCAAACAGCAGTGGACAGGGCTTGCCCCAGGGGAGGGGCAAGGAACCCTGTAATGGAAAAATGAAGCAACAGTATACCAAATAATGCAAATAATACAAATACAGTGGAATAATGTACAAAATATCTTAGTAAAATTAGCAAATAACAACACAATACTGTAGAGTAAAAAAAATATGAGGTACTTAGCTGAGACAGCAGTAATGAAAGAGGCTTAGGTCACATGAGAGGACATGGAACAAGGACTGATCCCATTAGTTGAATATACTAGAATGTTAAATGGTTAACCCTTTAGGTGTATTTGTTAGTTTTTTCTATATTAATACATTAATATCCTTTCTTTGCTGCTGAGGAATAAAGAAAGAGATAAGCCTCCGTGTCTAGAGTTCGTACTGAACATTAGGTTTTTTGGACCCCGGACCCAAACACGGACATATCACTGTATGTTCGGGTTGGAGTTCGGTGTTCGGCGATTTAATGGCGCGTTTTCAAAGGCTGCAGGGCAGCCAATCAACAAGTGTTTAACTTGTGTGCCTTAGAAGCCATCATAGCCATGCTTACTAATGGCATAGCTGTGATTGGCCAGTGCAGCATGTGACCCAGACTCTCTTTATAAGCTGGAGTCGCGTAGCGCCACTCGCACATGCGGTCTTATTAGTGTAGGGAGAGGATGCTGCCGCTCATAGGTACAGCTTAGGAAAGAATTCTGCAAACTAGTACATTACTGGGGTGGTGTGCACTTCATATCTGAGAGTCAAATAGAATCGTCAAATACTGCTGTCACATTGCAGTTTTAAAACTTAAACATTTTTGAGTGCTAAAAAGTACATTAGTGGGGTGCACTTCATATCTGAGATTTAAATAGAAGCGTATAATAGTGTGCTTACAGCGCACTTGTAAACATTCTAATTGTTTTGCTGCTAATCTGCTAAATAGTACATTTTGGGGCGTGCACTTCATATCTTAGAGTCAAATAGAAGTGTCTAATACTGCGGTTACAGCACAATTGTAAACATTCTAATTATTTTGGTGCTAAACTGCTAAATAGACATTTTGGGGCGTGCACTTCATATCTGAGAGTCAAATAGAAGCGTCTAATACTGCGATTACAGCGCAGTTGTAAACATTCTAATTGTTTTGGTGCTAAACTGCTAAATAGTACATTTTGGGGCGTGCACTTCATATCTGAGAGTCCAATAGAAGCGTCTAATAGTGTGCTTACAGCACATTTGTAAAAAATTCTAATTTTCTGGGTGCTAATCTGCTAAATAGTACATTTTGGGGCCTGCTCTTCATATCTACAAGTCATGCTACAACGAAATTAAACAAGTTTTAAAATATGTATGGGCCAACCAGTGGCTGTAAACAACAAAGTTTTACTGGTTACATTCATGACTACACACTCTAGTGAACAGGACCTTCATGTAGTGTGTTCTTTTAAAAAAAATCATACAGCATCCTTTCATGTGCTTTTCAGATGTCATATTGTGAATTGAAGATTATACTAGCTTTAGTGTACTAATAATCTTAATTTTAATAATGACAGGAGGTGAGTATTTTGCATATCTCTCTTTACTAACTCCATACAGCAGTAAAGAAACACATGGAAAAAAGAACCATTCACAGGAGAGCAGGATGTACATAAGGCAATGTGACCTCATCATTTCCTCTTTCAGAAAACGACAACAAGCAGAAGTAAATATATAGCAAACAATAAAACTAATAATAACTCCAAGTTCCCATGTGCGAAAGAGCAAACTTCCAAAGAATTCTATACGAACAACGAAAAAGAGTTCAGGGTTGAGACAAATCCGAAGGATAAAATTTCCAATAGTTTCACGTGAACTGCCAATTATCTTCAGAGATGAATCATACTGAAAAGAGAATGTGTGACAGGTTTAGACATAGTCACGAACATGTAACTCCAATTAACGTACCACCTAACATCCCATTGGAGAATTTAGTAACTATAATCTGATAATTGAGTGATTCTAATGAGAACTCTAATGAGGATTCCATATTAATGGAAGTACGAACATATCATATAAGCACCAGTGTGAGAGGCAAACCTACCGTAGACCCTGATCTCTGCAAAGCAAACGAATAGAGAGGGTGGGCAGCGAAGCGGGAGGGGGGGGGGAAATACTCGCCTCCTGTCATTATTAAAATTAAGATTATTAGTACACTAAAGCTAGCATAATCTTCAATTTTACTACATGACAGGAGGCTTCGTATTTTGCATTTTTAACACTGAGAAAAGAGTATAGAACTAAATAAGAGTCCTACGGTGTGCCGTGAGACCCAGTATTCGGCGTTGTGGGGAGGTTTTCCCCGTTGAGCGCCCACGTATACACCATCTAACGGGAAATTATACAAGACCAAGTC